AAGTGTTTGACTTTTATTTGTGGGTTGAAGAATCCAGAAGATACTGACATAAGAACTCGACTTCTGTCACTCGTGGAACAAGACCCGAAAATGACTTTACAAATGGTGACAGCAGAATGCCAACGCTTAATCAACTTGAAGCACGATACTGCTATGGTGGAGTGCAAACGACAGTCGTCTGAATTTGGTCCAATTAACACAGTGAAAAGTCCTCCGATCACCGTTAAGCACACAGCAAGTCAGTCTCAGAATTCAGCTAAACCTCCTTCAGCGTGCTGGGACTGTGGTTCGTGGCATTTTGTCAAGTTCTGTCTTTTCAAGAAACATAAATGCCGTAATTGTCACCGTTTTGGACATAAAGAGGGTTACTGTCCACCACAAAAAAATTCTTCGGTGAAGAACAGAAGTAGTCGTTTCAAACAATCTCCTCGAGTACAGACTATTTTCACAACTTCCAAAGTCGATTTCGCCAGCAAACGTAAGTACATTACACTACGTATTAACGGCAAATCTATTCGTCTTCAGTTGGATACGACATCAGATATCACCTTAATTTCTCGAACTACGTGGCGCAAACTTGGGTGCCCACAGATTCTGCCAACCGAGCATATCGCTAAGAATGCCTCTGGAGATATACTGAAACTCGTTGGTGAGATAAATTACCAGGTTCAGTATGGTGAGCATCAGTTCAATGGTGTATGTTACGTCACAGACTGCCATGATTTGAATTTGCTTGGTCTTGACTGGTTAGACAAGCTCCATATCTTCAATGTACCATTAAATTCAGTATGCTCTAATGTTTCGTCCTCACCAAATAATGCTGTTCCCGGACATGTATCTGGTCAGACTCTCTTGCAACGCCTGCGTGCTTATGCAAAAGCGAAGGGGGAGGGAACAACAGAAGAAATTTTGGATAGATTCTTGCTGCATTATCGTACGACGCCAAATCCTTCCGCCCCAAATCAGTTATCCCCAGCAGAAATTATGTTTGGCCGGAAGTTCAGAACTGCCCTCGACTCAATTCAGCCTAGGCAAGTAAAGCAAGGCTGCAGAAATACAAGAATGGAAAACCAATTCAATCGCCATCATGGAGCTAAACGTCGAGTTTTCAAATTGTATCAGCAAGTTTATGTACGAGATTTTCGCTATTCACCTCCGAGATAGATTCGAGGACAAATTGTGGGGCAGAAAGGAAGGGTTTTGTACAAAGTGAATGTAGAAGGACAGTTATGTGTCAGACACACGAATCATATACGAGATGCGTCAGATAGACCCGACAATGAGAGACGAGACCTCACGTTAGAATTACTAGTAGATACATTTAATCTTCCGCAACCGGAAGCCCGGGACGCAGATCACACTCTATCCAGTACCACGCGAAGGTCAACTCGACAAAGAAGAGTTCCGAAACCTTCTCAAATAGATCCAAAACGCAAGTCCTACACTTTTTACGCGGAGAGGTGATAGGATCCCAGGCACTTTGTTGTTGTTCAATTATTTCAATGACTGTTAATCTCGCATAAGTGGTATATCATCATTTCCCAAGCATTTTGTTATTGACTATTACGACCAATTATTTCAAATACTGTTAGCTGTCTGTATTGTTGTAAAAATGTATAAATACCATTTCCTAAATAAGTTTCTTTGTCGTAGTTTGTCGTAGTTGTTGTACTACAATATACAGTCACAGACCAGCTTTTGTCTTTTGATATTTGCGTGGTTCGCTGAATCGGAAGGTATCAGAAGCAGATGGGCATATTAGTCAGGCGCAGACAGAATAAGGCGACAACGTCCTCATTTAATTCCGCTACAGTTATAACACAGCCTATTGCAGACCTTTATCAACAGCTGTTTTTGTTCTATACTCAAGATCAGATGGCCGGAAAGAATCACCAACAAGAAACTATGAGAACAAACAAAACAAGAACCACTCGCTCAACAAATACGTAGGAGAAAGTGGAGATGGATTAGACACTCGCTGAGGAGGCCACTTGCTGGTTGATATCGCGCGTCAGGCCATAGCTCGAGTGGAACCTACAAGGGAAGCGGCGAGTGGGACGTCCAAGAGTGACATGGAGGAGATCGTGTGAAGAAGAGTTGAAACAGTATGGAATAACATGGATGCAGGTGAAAAGTACAGCAGAAGACAGAAGCAAGTGGATACGTGTATTTGAAGCCCTATGTTCCACTAGGAACCCAAGGGAACAATAATAATAATAGAGAGTCCAGGATTCGTCCAAAGAAGAAGAATAGGAGTAAATGAAGATGTGCTGCTGTAGCTATGTGTCCACTGGGAATAATAATAAAACACATTAATCAATTTTTGTTGAAGTTTGTTCTTATTTTGTTCTTGTTTCTTTCAATTGCTTTAAATACTTCCACTAGTCTGACTATGTTACCTGTACTTTCTTGCCTACAGCTGTTCAGCAACTTGATGTTTAGTGTATTTCGATTCTATTGATTTGAATACATTTTGATATAGAAACAGGCTGCAAGCAGCTGAGAAGAATCCTCAAAGTTATAATGAGGATATGAGCTCATATATTCTTTCTACATATTTGTACTTGTTTTATCTATGTTTCATCACAACAGCATATGTATATATACATATATATATGAATGTGAATCTCTGAGAGACATCAGTTCTTTCGAGTTTGTAGAAATGCGTTTCTGATGGAGGCCTTGCCCAGTTTGCAAACCCAATAGTAAGCCCAATCAAGAGGGAAGATTGAGAATAAGGCTATCAAGGGCCCCCTGCCATGAAAATAAACAACGCCGCCACCGAAAACTGAAGCCGTACGTTCCACTGGAAACACAAGGAATCCGACGTGAGCACATTAATGTGTTGCTACTTTGAAATCGTATTATTTAAGAATAAGCTAAAGATATTTTCAGCATTTCTGAGCATTATATTATTTGTCTACGTCAGAGAGAGACAGAGAAAGATACAACGAAATAAAATCTCTGCAATACCGAAAAGAAACGGGTTCTAATTTCCTCACAACTAAGCGATAAATGTTAACCAGTGATGTTATACATTTTAGCACTTTTATGCAGCTATCGCCAATGATTTTCCTGATTGCAGTAGATTGGATAATGCGACAAACAGCGACGAGCAGCGAGGAAACAGGCATAAAATGGACTCACACAAAAAGAGACTTGGAGGATCTGGACTTCGCCGATGATGACATATGTCTGATTTCCCACAAACTGGAAGACATTCAAGTGAAAAGCAACAAGTTGGCAGAAGAAGCATCAAAGATAGGACTTCAGGTGAACATAGAGAAAACAGAGGTAATGAAGATTCCTGGACAAGAACAACAACAACAACCGACAACGGTCAGCATAAATGGAAGGACCCTGAAAGAAACAACCTCCTTTACCTACCTGAGAAGCATCGTTTCAACTTCAGGCGGACGGAACGGACGAGGATATCAAAGCAAGGGTCGGAAAAGCAAGACAAGCTGTCACCACTCTCAAGTCTGTGTGGAGGTCAACAACACTCAGCATCAAAAATAAAATCCGGATTTTCAACTCCAATGTGAAGTCAGTGCTACTCACTATACGGATCAGAGACTTGCACTGCCCGTCATAAAGAACATCTCAAACAAACTAAAGACCTTCATTAACAATTGTCTTCGCTAAGTACTCAAGATCAGATGCCTGGCTAGAAAAGATCAGCAACAGAGATCTCTGGAAATGAGCGAACCAACTCAGCAGGAACCGATTGTGAAACAAATATGCAGGAGGAAATGGAGATGGATTGGATGGCCATACTCTGAGGAAACAATCCATCAAGTGACATCACTAGACAAGCCATCGCTCGAGTGGAACCCGAATGGGAAGCGGCGAGTTGGTCGTCAGTGCGGGGGTGGGTGACTTGGAGGAGGTCATGTGAAGAGGAGATGAAAGCGTGTGGGCAGACTTGTAGCCAGGTGAAGACTGTATCAGAGAACCGAACGCAATGGAGACGCACGACTGAAGCCCTATGTTCCTGTAGGAATTAAAGGAAACAATAATAATAACAATGCATCTAGAAATGAAGATAATTCAGAAGTAAGTCACTACAGCTAAACTGAATGATTTCTCCCTGAATTACCCAAACAGCAGTACTGTTTTATTATTTCAAATCACATGAGACAATTGCTTCAGATCAATCAGGCACTACCTGTTTAGAGTGACTTTTGAAACTGTGTCCGTACTAAGACTGTACTGTTTATTAAAGATTACCATATGGTTAATCAGAATACTTTTGGTGTGGTTATGTTCTCTCAGCTTGATGGTTTAACTGTGAAGCTTTCATAAAGCTTCTAGATAACATACTCAGCACTTAAATTAGTGTGCACAAGGGAATTTATAGTTTTTTCAGAGGTGATGCTTTTTAACCTCCATGTTCTCTAGAACGGAGAGGCAGCATAGCTAGCTTGCTGACCATCTGACGGAAGGAAACACTTTGCTAATGTTACACCCCTATTAGTTATCAGTAAGACTTTATTCTTAGATACTCAAACATAATGCAAACATTTAGTCCAACTAGCATCTAATCGATCGTTCCAGAATAGTGGGATCATCAGGATCATTCGTCCCAGCCAGTATAACTAGTCGGGGCATGGTAATACGTAAGCTTGGCCATCATATCAAAGTAGCAGTTGTCAATTACTATAACTCCTGTGAACTCACACTAGGACTTGGTTCTTCGACTGTGCATCTGCACTTCAATCTGTTCTCTATACTCTTTTTTTAAAATTACTCATCGACTTGCCCTCACATGCCTCCTCAGTGTGACCTTTGTTATCACACCCAACCCACTGCATCCTATTCGGGTTACCCTCGATAGCCATCCCAAAGATAATGTCAGTTAGAGGTACCTTTGTGATGTCATGTAATCACAGCCATTCATTTGAAAAATCATTCAAAATTAATACCACTGATATATATATATATATATTAGAGACACTAGCGCAAAAAACAAAATCCATTCCTCCTTATCAACAACATACCTGTCTGATTCGACGGAAAACATCTTGACTAACATTTGCAAAAATATTCAATTCTGGATGATTCAGTATACTGAAGGCTACAGCACAATGATGATTTTCAAGCGGTGATATATCATTGTATCGGATAGCCAATTCAGTTCTTGCATTGATCTGATAACTGTGTTAAAAAGAATGAATATATATATATATCAATTATTACCAATGGTCATTTGATTATTGACTATCTCATATGAATGGCTCTATTTTTCAATAACTACTTATTAGAATAAAGAGAATAAATGACTGAAGAGACTGGGGACACTGCTCATTGTGTGGTTAATAGGCAATTAAAGTGTACATGAACCCACCCCACTTTCGTCCACCATACTTGGCCCGTGTTCCAAGCAACAGAGACAATGTTAAGAGCGAAACCTATGACTTGCTTTGTTATTAACAACATAATTTAGGCTCTTTTATTTCTCTCTTATTTTGTATTCTATAGTGAACTCCTTCTCAAACATACTTAGCTACCTAAATTATTAACATTGGCTTACTTTTTTGTACTTTACTATATTCCTTCTTTTGAGTATCTACTGGTTCCGACTATATTAGCACTAAGAGTAGTGTAAAATTTCCCTGTCATTAACCATCATGTAATTATTAGTTTTGTGGTTGTTTTTTCTTATTTTCTATACTTTTCGGCAATATTAAACTGACAATCATTGGTTGTGAACGCCATAGTCACCACCTTAAAATTTTGTATCATTCAGGATTACTCACACTACCACTAGAAACACTGCATTAGACCTGACAATAAAAAACAAAACAACAACCCTGAAATGTTATTTTATGATTGTTTAGAGTTGGTTCAACCAAATTAACTGACCATCTTGGCGATAAACATTCTTAATTATCATTTCATAACTTCTTGTATGACTATAGCTTTACTGTCACCATGCATAATCATATCATAGCTTCCATTACCCAATACTGAGATATTATTATATGATGTTTATTTTTCTTTCTACTTCTTGGTATTTTTTCGCATTTATAATTATTTTGTGTTTATCCTATTTTTTTCTGCTGTTGGTGTCTTTAGATTTATTTATTTATTTTGTTTGTTTAATACTCCTTTTAAATGCTTGTAAAATTAGATGCAAATATTGTAGATATGTGCTGAAAATTCCACACTGTACCACTAGTACTGTTTCTGGAATAAAGCAAATTATTATTATTATTACTCTTTTCTTCATTCCTTAGCATTCCGAGTGGAAAGTAGGGTTTCAGCCTGAGCTTTGAACGTTCAGTAGCAGTGGTGTTATTTTACGGAGTGTGGTTGTTAGACCCGTGTTCAACCTTCCCTGTTTCTAGGGCTTGCTACCGCCTGGGTAAGGTTTAGAAGTTCATCGCCCCGAAATCAAACGCCAGACCATTGACTGAACCATCAACGCTCCAGTTACTACCTGATATTAGCCTATAGGTCTATATTCGTCATAGATAGCCTCATCACTGGTTAAGAACATGCTCTGCTACAACTGTGATGAGAAAGTGTGATCGGACAGTTATTGTGTAAGTATTACACTGCGTACAATGGTCGTATTCATACAGTGGTGATCTAATTAGCGAAAAAGGGGCCCAAAATCCGGTAGATTCAGAGACAAGTCAGTAATCTGAAGTTATTCGGTTTGAATCTCACTATGGTGTTCTCACCAGAGATAATTTATTCAAGTTGAATTTCCTCAGGAAATAATTAATATCAATTAGAGAATCACTGAAAACCAAAAAGTACTGGATAGATGCTTTGGTCTGATTTGAGAATTCTCAACCCTACTCAACCATGATCTGAGGAAGGATTGAATTGACAACCTTGAGATCCACTGAAGACACACTTGATGAAGAAGAAAGAAAGTTGACACAAACTCTGGTTGATAACAATTATCTAGACAAGTTCATCAGGAGATATAAATTAGTCAGAACACCAAGACCCACTCTCCAACTCGTCCCTAAGAAAGACGTGTACATCAAGCTACCCTATATGGGGCATCAAAGCAGCTTGACAACTGGACAAAGACTGAACGCTGCTGTCAAAAAAACTTTTTATGCAGCCAATATCATAATAATAGAGAATGTAAAGCCAATATATCTATCTAAGCCCTTCGAACATGCAAAAAATGACGTCACATCCCACTGTATTTACCAATTTGAATGTACGTGTGGACACATACATAGGGAGGACTCATCGATCTCTGCTGTTAAGGGTTTCAGTGAATATTCCTAAATGGCTCCAGAAACAAATGGAATTTTCAGAACCCATTAATGGTGAGAACAGGAGACCTAGCTCTTCTATTGCGAAACATATCATAGAGACAGGACATATAATTGACGTTAACAGATCTTTTAAACCTATCTATAAAACATGTTTGTGGTGTATCCCAAAGTTTAGGGAAGCCCTATCTGGCAATTAGGAAGTTTGAACCACCTTTATGCTTTCAAAGCAACAGTTCGTCATCACAACAAACCTTCCTTGGTAAACTTTGTTTCGATACCAGTGTAGATGCACTATTACCTCTGTTACTTAGTTTAGTGTTCTTCATTGTTATTTTGACCTTCAATATATCCCTTTAACTTGATCCAAGTCTATTTTCTCACCTCTTAACTCTTTATTAATTTCATATATATTCCTATGACAAGTCCGTGTGTGATCAGATTGTTCGAAATGTGTTGTGCACAAATACATTACACGATTCAGACAAATTACGTCTTCTTATCTAAATTCATAAAAGGAACTGATTGTTTTAAATTATCCCTCTAGTCGCATGCTGATGAAAACAACTCTCCAGTGGTTCTTAGTCTTCAGTTATTCTCCAATTAATGACAGTTTGTGATCGGATCTATCTTGAAATCATCCAAATTCACAAACACCAACACTTCATTCTTTATTTTAGTCGAATAAGAAGACGATGATCAGATTGCTTCTCTCCTGCATAGAATTCATTCACTTCTGTACGTAGATAAATAAAATGCGCTTATGAAGAATACTGACATGGTATTTTCATAAAGTTCTCAACTTATATCAGAGAATATAAAGTCTTTGTGTGTGTTGGCCAGGTCCCAGTGTCCGAATGGTTTACTGTGGGCCAGCTGCTTAAAACTTGGGCTACCAAAAGCTTCGATCACTATGCTGCATATCATTTCTCTTGTTCAGTTTGTTTTAATCTACTACAACCTGATCCTTAGTGGTATTATTTACTCTTTCCAGGATCTAAAATGTTTACAAACTGCTGATTTAACTAGTTTCTACTAAACTTGAGAAAAAGCCTAATTGTGATTGCTAACGGTATCTGAATTAATCGGATAACTGCTCCTATATCCTTGGGTCTCAAAATGTACTCCTGAACTTTTTATAATTGGCTTTCAACCGAACGTCATGCATTTCTGGAAGGAGACAACGAATAAATATCATTATGATGGATTGGTATGCGCTTCAGATGAGACAGCATAGGGTCACACAATCTACTGTCAGTTAGTTTTTTTTATTTGAAGGCCATGGACGGAGAGTAAATATGATAGAGTGCACTCCTGGAAATTATGTACATTATATAAACACTCTCTAGAATAAAGCTATTATAATTATTGTAACTCGAAGCTCTTGGGTTCGAACTCTAGTGGGCGCGTGCCAGTGAAGAGTCCCAAACTAGGACGAAACAGCTATCCAATGCTCCATGGTCTTCCAAAGGTTCTCTTAGTGATATCAGCTTGTCATCAAACCTGTAACATACAATCAGTTTTATTCACACAATGGAAACTATTCTGATAAGAACTCAGCAAACGAACGACAGGATAATCATTTAGACTGAGTGTTGTGGCTTTCTGCTTCTCTTTAAATAATGGCTTTAGTTATCGCCACATTACGGATCATCATTGAACAAAGCTTGGAATGGCAGTCACCTCTCTCAACATCTCAACTTCATCGACTTTGAAAAGGCCTTCAATAGCGTCGATCGAGAGGTGCTTTGGCAACTACTTCGCTACTACGGGCTGCCACCGACAATTATACATCTCATCCACCAGCTGTACAACAATGCTGCATGCCAAGTAATCCACAATGGGAAACTTACGGAATCCTTCGAAGTGAGGACAGCAGTAAGACAAGCTAGCTGACTACTATCGCAAATGATTTTCCTGATTGCAGTAGATTGGATAATGCGACAAACAGCGGGCAATGAGGAAACGGGCATAAAATGGACTCACACAAAGAACTTGGAGGATCTGGACTTCGTCGATGATATATGTCTGATTTCCCACAAACTGGAAGATATGCAAGCGAAAAGCAACAAGTTGGCAGAAGAAGCATAAAAGATAGGAGAGACTTCAGGTGAACATCGAGAAAACAGAGAGGACGAAGATTCCTGGCCAACAGCACCAACAGCAACAACAACAGACAACAATCAGCATAAATGGAAGGAACCTGAAAGAAACAACCTCTTTTACCTACCTGAGAAGCATCGTTTCAACTACAGGCGGACAGAACTGACGAGGATATCTAAGCAAGAATCGGAAAAGCAAGACAAGCTTTCATTACTCTCAAGTCTGTGTGGAGGTCAACAGCATTCAGAATCAAAAATAAGATCCACATTTCAACTCCAATCTGAACTCAGTGCTACTCACTATACGGATCAGAGACTTGGCCAGCGCGTCATAAAGAGCATCTTTAACAAACTACACACCTTCATTGACAGTTGTCTTCGCTCAATATCACTCAAGATCAGATGGCCGGCCAGAAAAGTTCAGCAATAGTGAGGGATCTCTACGAGCGACCCAACCCAGCAGGAACCGATTGTGAAAGAAATAGGCAGAAAGAAATGGAGAGGGATTGACCATACTCTAAGGAAGCCAAGCACCAGACTAGCCCCCGAGTGGAACGCGAAATGGAAGCGGTGACTTGGAGGAGGTCATTTGAAGAGGAGATGAAAGCGTGTGGGCATACTTGGAGCCAGGTGAAGACTCTAGCTGAGAACCGAACGCAATGGAGACACACGGCTGAAGCCGTATGTTCCTCTAGTAATTAAAGGAAACAATAATAATGATACTCTCTGTAACTCATGTGCGTCGGTGGCACAGTGGTTAGGACTCTCGCCGACCATGCACATGGTCCGAGGTTCGAACCCCTACCGACGC